TCTATCACACTACACTGCTGGTCTAAACATGACCTCAGAACTTTTACATTTATCGGTTTAAATAATACTTTATAGACCATATATTAGTCTTCATGCAGTGATGTGATACTTTAAATCCATATGATCATATCAATGTAGAGGACCGGTGAAGATCCGGGGTAAAATAGGTCTTCAGCAATCCATGCTTGTAGTAAGAGGCAACTAAAGGGATTAGATGGTCAGGTTCCCTGACTTGGTTGATGCATGTCATTGTATCCCAATTGCGAGGATCGATGTTCGTGCTATCAAGCACTGGATTGTCTGGACCAGACTCGATTATTTACAGACCTTTATCATATAGCTGGAATATTGCTGAGTGGAGCATCAAACAACAAACAAACAAAACAAACAATGTAGTGATGACACGACACTGTATTCCCTACTGTTTAACTACTTAAAATTACTCTGCTTCTTCGGCATTGGTGAATCTCATCATCCCATATGGTATTAGAAATACAGTGATACAATAATCTATCGCCTTATGTTAAACCACTTAAAGAAAAAGACATTGACCGGTCGGATGCATTGTTCTAAGCTTACATGGCTCATCTCGCCATATTCCCCTAGAGAATGTACTGCACCAGTGACCACACCAGAGTGAAGGCTTATCATGTGACTGACTTTTCTCTTGTTTGTAAACAAATGCACTTATTCTGAAATAAGCACTGACAGGCCTAAAGCAAGCCTTTCGGTATTTTTACATATAGTTATATATTATATAGCATGACAATATAGCTTTACAGATCAAAGTGACCATATGACTAACTTTCCTTAGACCTTTGATGACAGTACATGAAGGATAAATACACATGCAAATGGAAATATTTTTTACATTTTAGGATATTTTTCCAATGAGATTTATGTGTATCTAAATGTGTAGACTCGTCCAAAATGAAACGGATGAAAAACACTTGAATGGACTGTGTTATATGTGACGATGTGACAGAGGTACTCCGCTGGCCGCAAGGAACTCGGGGTTGGAGAGTGATTGGCTTTGTACAACCGAGGCATTTTTTATATTGTAGTCTAGACTTTGATAAACACTGGCTTCTAATCTAATCAAGTTGACAATTAATATTTTGTAACTCACCTGCCAAAAAAAACACATGAGTTTTCTCTTCAAGTTTCCTCAAATAAAAAACATGATTGAAGCCAGTTTACTCTGCGTAGTGCTTACATTGTCAGCTTCGCTGTGTGGAGCTCTATTGTTTTGGTTTGAGATTTGAATCTGTCATGTGACGTCACACTTGCAAATTATTTCATGCATGATTTAAGAACACACAGAACCATCGATGTACTGTCCCTTTAAGACAACACTGCTTCTTCTGCGTTGAAGGGTCTCATCCCATGTTATTACAGAAATACAAGGGTATGATAATGTATATTGTTCTGTTAAACCACTTAAGACTAGAATGCTTCTTCTGTGTTGGAGGCCGGTCCCATCCCATGTTATTATAGAAATACAAGGGTATGAAACTGTATATTTTTTCTGTTAAACCACTTAAGACTACACTGCTTCTTTTGTGTTGGAGGGTCCCATCCCATGTTATTATAGAAATACAAGGGTATGATACTGTATATTTTTTCTGTTAAACCACTTAAGACTACACTGCTTCTGCTTTGCTGGTTTCATCCTGCCATAGTACAACAGAAATACAGTGACAGGCTACTGTAGGCCTTCTGATTGGCCTAATGATGACCTGAGGACTATAGGGATGCAGTGGTCAACCACATGGCTTCAGGGCAGGGGACTCAGCTTGACCACACAGGGCACCGGGTCCTCATTATAACGGGGTATTATCATGTCACTTGTCATAATGGTGATACTATCTCCCCGCTTGCCATTCAGAAACAATTTAGATTGCCAGATGACCTGTCAGCAGTGGATTTACAAATGTATCTTATCTAATGGATACTCTGTGAGTGAGACCACAACATACAGAGCTGTCTATCTAACTACCAGACTGCTATGTGCTCTGAAGTAGACTTCAGATATGACAGACCACTAAGCTGTAAGGAAGAAGGCAAGCAGTTATTTCAATCCTGTGATAACATCAAGAAATATTTAGACTATAAGAAAACATTCATCCCTTTGAGTGTGTATCATTTACACAGGTTGAGGAATATATCAGCAATACCATGATGGGAGATGGCAAGACTGAGCTCAAAACACTGTGTGAATGTGGGAAACTGAACCCAGTTAGGATGAGTCAATGCTGTAACCACCTATCTCACTGAACCCATCTTAGAGAACCATGTGCTTAAAGTGTCTTGCAGTGTTGTCAGTAAAGTGAGCTGCAATGTTCTCAGTGAAGTGAGCTGACAATGTTGTCAGTAAAGTGAACTGCAATGTTGTCAGTAAAGTGTCTTGCAATGTTGTCAGTAAATTGACTTAAAATGTTGTCTGTAAAGTAAACTGCAATGTTGTCAGTAAAGTGTCTTGCAATGTTGTCAGTAAATTGACTTAAAATGTTGTCTGTAAAGTGAGCTGCAATGTTGTCAGTAAAGTGAGCTGCAATGTTGTCAGTAAAGTGAGCTGCAATGTTGTCAGTAAAGTGAGGTGCAATGTTGTCCGTAAAGTAAACTGCAATGTTGTCCGTTAAGTGAGCTGCAATGTTGTCAGTAAAGTGTCTTGCAATGTTGTCAGTAAAGTGTCTTGCAATGTTGTCAGTAAATTGACTTAAAATGTTGTCCGTAAAGTAAACTGCAATGTTGTCAGTAAAGTTAGCTGCAATGTTGTCAGTAAAGTGAGCTGCAATGCTATCAGTAAAGTGAGCTGCAATGTTGTCTGTAAAGTAAACTACAATGTTGTCCGTAAAGTGAGCTGTAATGTTGTCCGTAAAGTGAGCTGCAATGTTGTCCATAAAGTGAGCTGCAATGTTATCAGTAAAGTGAGCTGCAATGTTGTCAGTAAAGTAAACTGCAATGTTGTCCGTAAAGTGAGCTGCAATGTTGTCCGTAAAGTGAGCTGCAATGTTGTCCGTAAAGTGAGCTGCAATGTTGTCCGTAAAGTAAACTGCAATGTTATTAGTAAAGTGAGCTGCAATGTTATTAGTAAAGTAAGCTGCAATGTTGTCAGTAAAGTAAACTGCAATGTTGTCAGTAAAGTAAGCTGCAATGTTGTCAGTAACGTAAGCTGCAATGTTATCAGTAAAGTGAGCCACAATGTTGTCAGTAAAGTGACTTGTTATTTATTATTGTTATTTGTTTGCCTGTCCAACATAATGTATGACTGTCCTAGGTTTGTGAGCATGCTAAGTATCAACAAGCCATCACACAACTGTAGATCTCGGTCTCTCAGAGATTCTCAAAGTTTGAGTCTCACAGGGCTAAAACATTTCTGCTAAAATGCTGTTTCGGGTAACTTTTAATTTATATCTGTTTGCATGCTGCCCAAAGTGTATAACTTGTTGCATAAACTGACAACTGCAATATACATGTTTAAGTAACAATGAGCGAGATGTACTGCCTGTTTTATACTCATATGAGTGAGTGAGTGAGTGTTCTTTACGTGATAGTTACAGCACTACAGGCTAAAACTAAGGCCTTTGCATGACAAGAGAACACTTTAACCACTAGACTTTTCCCCCAACCAGGGACTCAAAATCATTGTGTTACACAATGGTGACCTCACTGTGGCCACCCAATCTCCACTTCAGTCTCAGCACAAGTATGAAGTGCTGTGGCTTGTGCTTCTCGAGCACCATCATAAAGCTTTCAAGGAAATAGATCAACATTATCCGTCATCAGCAAGTATTAATTCTCACTTGAGGAAATATGTTTTTCCTGTTTTGTAATTTTACTCTTGATAATATTATCCGGTTATAACAGAATTTCATAGTGGTTACATGAATTTGTTAGTTTTGTTATAAGGCGAAATATATTTTTCTCAAATCCTACAATATCCCAACTTTTGCACAACAATTCCATGTGGTTTTCTTTGTCTAAATCTTCATTTGTCTTGAACAACCCGGGAAGATATATCATCATGTTTTGGCGTCTTGATGTGAAATATTCCAATCATTCAAATCCTTCTTTCTATCAACATTATCATGAAAACAAGAAATCATATTTCAGTTGGTTTGAGGTCTTTTTAAATTAGCATTATGGGATTTAATTTCAATTGTAACATTCGAAAATGTTTTCCTGTGTTATTATACAAACAACAAATCCTGTATCAGTTAAATACACGACACATGTGACCATCAATTACCACTCAACATTTGACAGGAATATTCGGTATCACAAAATTACAAATGTCCCTATCAAAAGTTGAGAAGTATAGGAACATGTGATTCAGTGTCAAGTTTAAATCAAGATGATCAGAGAGCTGATAATTCAATTTGTATGTGGTAGGATTTCCATAGTCTCTGTCCCAGACCCCAGATCATCTATGCCATAAAACAGTCACCCCCCATCCCATTTTCATGACAATTCCAGATCCAGCAGCCTATATATACTCATCCTCTATCAGCTCTGAAAATAAGAGATTTGAGGGTACCTTAAAAATTGAACATACCTTTTTTTCAAATCATATTTATTTAATCTTATACATAACTCTATTTTTGGAACTATATGTAAGTCTAGTATGAGTTATTAAGTCTTTACTGCATGACAACATCTAAACAGCCACAGACACTAAGTCACTTTCCCTCCATTATCCCAAGGCGTGTATATTCTCCCTTACTACCTACATCACCAAACCTGTGAAGATTCCAGTTATAAGTATAGAAATATAGATCCACAGCAACCTATGCTTGTCATAACATGCGACCAATCGGTTGGTCAGAAGTGGTTAATTGGTTGACTGCATGTCAATGTATCCCAATTGCGTAGATCGATTCTCATGATGTCAATCACTGGATTGCCTTGTTCAGAATCTATTATTTACCTATTGCTGTCATATAGGTGGAATATTGCTGAGTGAGGCGTAAAAAACAAAACAACCAACAAAAACCAACCTTAATTCCTGAACTTTCAAATCCAATCCACGGCTATGGTACAAAGATGTGAGGTCAGAGGACGAAGATTCTATACCATTACCTAGATACAATACACTCCACTTTACAAGCCAAGTCTCTTGCATAGGCTCACAACACCACCTTTTAAAACATTCACATGTTCAATAAATCGCAACACCTCCAACAGAAACCACAGGAAGGTCAGCAGAGATAGGGTCAATCAATTGTGGCAGTATCCATGTACGTGAAGTGCTCTGCTGGCAGGGGGAGCTTCTCTCCTTCAAACCAGCACTGAAACAACACTGCTGCCTCCACTGTCCGATACCGCTGTCCCTCCTCCGTTGACCTGGGACTTACCCTCCCTGGTGTAGCAGTTGGAGACTCCTTTCTTATACAAGGACAGCTATGGCTGGGGTGGATGTAATTATTGTGGGAGGTGTCTGGATGTGTCTCGGAGGGCTACAACACCTATAGGCTTACGATGGAGTGAGGCAGGCCGGACTGGTGTTGCTCTTACAAACACATGCGACTGCTTCTTGATACTCCATCAGTTTAATGAGGCTCTGTACCACTGCCCCTACACAACCCTCCATATTGATTTCTTTTCAAGAACTAACCATCTTAATGGCTTTCGAGACTCCTTAGACAATATTGTGTAGACTACATAACTGAGAACTCAGTACATTATACTGACAGATTTGACAGAATACTCTTTATAACTGCTTACATCCCTCCGAGATGAACTGTCACAGATTTGTCTTCAGAGACAGAGCAGGTATCCCCTGCTTATCATAAAAGTGATAAAAAGGTGGATCAGGTGGACAAAATGTCTGACGGTTATGGATTATATTCTGATGAAGATCAGCTCTCATGTATCCTGCCTGACACTGTGCAACCCCACTAAAACAGATGTACAATGTTGTCAGATTTAGTGTGTCTTTGAGTATTTAACACCCATACTCTAGAATGAGAGTACTTATCAGAGTGAGTGAGTGAGTGAGTGAGGTTTTACTCCACTTTTAGCAATATTCCAGCAATATCACAGTTGGGGACACCAGAAATGGGCTTTTACCCATGTCGGGAATCGAACCCGGGTTTTCGGTGTGATGAGCGAATGCTTTAACCACTAGGTTACCCCGACCACCCCAGATATGATCAGAAATGATGGATGATGTAAGAGTCAACTAAAATAAACAGTTTCTGTAAGATGTTAATTAAAGAAAACAGTATTGCCTTCAGAATGAACCGGTCCACAAGAAATTTATTTAATCTTTCCCTTATTTTCTAGGTAGGCAGAATACTAATTAAAACTGTTAAGCAAACAGTCAATCACTGGATCATCTGGTCCAGACTCTAATATTTAAATACAAACATCATACAGCTGGAATATTGCTAAGGACAACATTAAACAACAAACAAATGTTTAGCAATCATGGCTTCGTAATTTAGGCAAGGAAATATAACTTTAAAGCTAAAATCTGAATCTTAAAATTGACATAAAAATATCAAGAATTTACCAAGTTAATGGCTCACCTTAAAAAATACAAAAATGTATGATTTAATGACCTGCAGGCTGATAAACATTTTAATACCTTTTCATTGGCCTAACACCCAAAGTAGAACCTCCTTTCCCACTTGGGTGAGGAGTGTGCCCTCTCCAGGCCAGCAATATACTTGTAATACTATCATGATATAACAGTTGGGTTTAACGCCGCTTTTAACAGTATTCCAGTGATATCGTGGCGTGTCAGCTTAATGTGGGAGGAAAGCTTGAAGTGATGCAGGTCTCAGACGTTTATTACTTCGGTGAAACCCACCAGCACGGGTATGGTGCTGACAAACCTAGAAACATAATCGGTGCGAGTGAGTGAGTGAGTGAATATGGTTTTACGCCGCTTTTAGCAATATTCCAGCAATATCACGTCGGGGGACACCAGAAATGGGCTTCACACATTGTACCCATGTCGGGAATCGAACCCGGGTTTTCGGCGTGACGAGCGAACTCTTTAACCACTAGGCTACCCGACCGCCCCCATAATCGGTGCGAACCGGATTCGAACCCACAATCATAGGTTTCTGGCGAGCCCAAGGGACTCAACTCTGCACAGCGAATCGCGGCGCCCTAGACGACTGGGCCACCCGTGCCCCCAAGTGCTTTTATGAGTTATCATAGTGTAATATTTATACATCATTTCATATAATTATAATTCAGCAAGTAATACTTCTCATCAGGTAAAATGCATATACATCATTTCATATAATTATAGTTTAGCAAGTAATACTTATCATCAGGTAAAATGCATATATAAATATTACACCATGATAACTCATAAAAGCACTTGATGTGGATCTAATTATCATAGGAAAACTTAGTATAAATGTTATATTATGATAATACTCTGTACACCTATTCCACTCACTGTGGTGTTAGTTTCATAGCCTGTAAAATGTCATATTTCATGATAATAAAAGCAAAACAAAACCCTTTCCATAATCATAAGAAATCTCTGCTAAAAGCAGAGGCCATTGTATGATTCAGACTGTATTATAAGCATGTTTTTATGAATCAAATAGTCATGAGTTTGCGAAAACGTGTACCCTGCCCCACTGGTGTCATCCATCACAAACACATGCAAAGGCATGTCAAATTAATATTGTAGTATCTCATAGTTTACAAATGAAACATTTACAATCTCCATGGAAACTGTTAATCCTGCTGAAAAGCTGTGATTTTCTTCATTTTCACTATATCATGTATAATATTGGATTGACACTAACAATGTGACTAGCTGTCACCTGATGGTTTATCTCCATGGAAACATCCCAGAAAAACTGTCAGTTAATACTTGTCAGTTAACAAATATACAAACTTTATTTAACACCTGTCTCAAACTGAAAAAAAAGCTTCCTCTTCCTCTATGATTGTACAGTATTCAAGTCAAATCGAGGTGAGAATTCTAACTTGGAAGCCATTTTGTACCCCAGATGCTCTTCATGCAGCTTTTAGCAGGCAAATGTTTGACAAAAACACTATTTTCTCATTACAAAATGAATTGTGATTTCTTTATTTCTTAAATTCAGAAGTATTTTGGCATTTCATTTATTTAAAAAAGATAAAAGCCATTTGTCTCTTATTAGTCCTGTTATCAATAAAATAACTATCATCTCTGAAAAACTAAACTTTTCCCAAATCATAATTACCTAAATTGGAATGGTTTTAATTTCAATTTGGGCATTTCTATTGACATGTGTCAGAGGCCTGGATTCAAATATCAGCTTATGAGAACCACTAACCAATATGTAACCTTAATATTTCACCATTACAACAGTGGGTGACATCCCAAATCTACAAACTGTTCTCATGTGGGGCATCGAACCTGGAACTTCATGCCACAACCAAATCCATTAACCACAAGGTAGTCTGTCCCTCCCACCTTTACTATAAAGCTATAAAGCTCTAAATGTAGACTAACATCTAGTCTCTGAAATGAACATATTGTACAGAAAAAAACAGTTGTTCAGTTATCTTTATACAAATATAATAAAAAGGAGCCCAGTGACTTTCTTCGTTTTACTGCAGTGATCTAGACTTGCCAAACATTATAGACTTGCATCGGCTGTATTTGATATATATTTGTATCAGGGTCTGTAAGACAGACTACTCTTAATGAAATAAGTCTAGATTTTCCACAGGTATCTCCCATCTCACTGGGACCCCTTTTCAGTTTAAATATAATGTATACTACTCTAGAGAAGGTAAAGAACACCCAAATCTTTCATATTACCACACATCTTTAACTTCTTTTGGGTAGTATATTTTCAGAGACTGAGCATGTGTCTAACACAGACATCCCTACTAGGAGACAAGCAAGGTGCAGGGCAAGAACCCCCAAGGGAGACATGTGGTTTTGGGGAAGATTGTTACATAACCATAATATCATTGAAACAATCCAGTTAAAAAGTCTCAGCAGCACTTTAACTTGAACCCAAACACAGCCCAGACACCCAACATAGACCACCACATGGTGAATCTCAACAATAGTTTCTAATTAGTCGTCTCACACATTTTTCTAATTTCTTATACCCTTGACATCAATATTTGCTTAAGTCCTTCCAAACAGGTGAAAATATAAGATCAACAAGACGTCCATTCCTGCTGCGCCCCAAGCAGAAGACATTTATAATGACCCTCATTAGTAGGGTCTCTGTGCGGCCTTGTGGGAAAGCCGTATGTGTATCACTGCCCCACCTCTTTCCCTTCCCTCCCTCATTACCGCACACAGCTTCATTAGGCAGCATTTAGATACAGCTGAAACGGACGAATAATGGCTAGAATTAGACCACCCTTCACGACAGATCCAACTTTTTTGGTCTCCGATTTAAGGTCCTTCCTTCCTATGGACGGAATGCCACAATCAGGGTGAATCCAGGAGAAATTATCAAATTGCAAACCTCTATAGCATCCAAATGAAACTAGCTCAAGATTGATTACATTAGAAGCTGAGCATCAGGGCTTGTACTAAAGACGTGCTCATTACTGAGATTTTTACATCATGTTCCACACTGAAGGAAGTCGTGGCTAATGGGGAACTTGATAACAAATCTGAAGAGGTAATCCCTGCCTGGTCAATAGCACCTTTGCCTTTAATAGACGGAATAATCACCCTATTACTGCTCTGCCCTTGCCTGTCAACCCTAGTTACCGACTAGCAGACTTGCGATTTTATTTGTAAACGCATTTCATTCCAACAGATACCTTTCAAACTTGGGGATGCAGATGTGGAAGAATTACATCTTAATCAGGTTTCGGGTTGTGGTGGATACATCTTCATTTGTAGCCCTTCGAGACGAGGCGATATATGTAATGGGAATTGTTGTATCTCTGCCTCGGCTTGTTACAGGTTCAACGATGGAGAACATGTCTGTCCATCATGGCAGATCCATCTTAAAGATGAATGGTTTATACTTTGTTTCCTGATTTTCCAGCCTCCATCGAGTTGTTTCGGTCTTGATGGCAAGCCATGTTACAATTTCTTTGCAGATTTTGTTATCACCACTGTTGATGGAAATTGAACTACTGATATGAGTCTAAAGAGTGGTCTTAATTGCAGACGCAACATTAGCCCTTTCTTCTGTAGGACTAATGATCTTTGTGGTTAAATCAAGGTCCTGAATAAATATTTAGGTCTGAGGTTTAACCAAATAAAATTGTTGAACATTTCTATAGTTCCTGAGGGAGATCAGTGGCCAGGAAGGTGAGCGGTTGAGAGTGCAAGTGAGTAACTGAGATGACTGACCCACCATAGTCAGGCAAACAGACCCTCAAACAAATATATCCAACACATCTCATGTCAGTCTAAAATGTTGTCAAGTCTAGATTACTGCTGAAAATGAAGAGCTACTCTGGACTCCTTTCTATACTATTTTATTAAGATAATTCCTCAGATTCAATTCAATATCCAATGCAGACACAGA